ACCCGGTTCGGTCTGATTGGACTAGTTCTAGAAACTTCCTGGACCGACGGAGGATCCCCACGTGCACTACCGACGCGTGACGACGCGTGCGGTGGTGACAAGGGTTGTTTGATTACTCCCTGGTTCGACAATCACAATAATCGATCCAAATCAACCTTAATCATCAGCCATAATAGAGTAAACAATTGGAAAAAAATAAATCGGTTACCCTCAACAGCGAACGAGGATTGAAACGGCAGTGAGCGACGACCTGACCAAGTTTTGGTCGGAAGAACACCGGGAATTTAACGAGGGAGGCGGTGTGATGAATCGATGATCATGGTGGCCGGAATAATGAAAAACATTGGGTATAATAATTTTCGTTGAACCTGTCAAAGGCTACCCACGACGAACGACGACCGCTTCCAACGATCTGGTGGGTGGTTTTGATCGGGCTTCGATGATGCTTCGCCTGGGGGGTCGATGTCGTTCACCGGTGAGCGGAGACAGAGGAACGTTGAGGGTTTTGAATGACTACAATTCATGAAACAAGCCAAACGGTGGCCGATTTCGATGAGCAACCGACCGGGTTGGGTTGCGGAAGGTCACTGGTCACGTTGGTAGGGTCAGGGCACGATAACGGCGACCGGAGCAAGGCGGTTTGATGGGTAGAATCGGCTGGTTTAGGGGAATAGGTTTTAGGGTTCATGGGTAAAAATTCTAAACAAAAAGGGAATTTAATTTTCCTTGCTAAAAGAAATGGCTAAATTTGGGATGGGTCCCCGGATTTCTTGCAATTTCCTAAAACTAACTATAAGTTTTTAAAACTTAACATTTGACCCCTAAATTGGGGTGTTGCAATATGTTCTTAAATCATTACTTTTACTTTAAATTAGTCCTCAAAATTTGACTTTCATTCTAAATTAATCATTAAATTTTTTGAATATTTCAATTTCACAAATTCATTCATTATGTAATTAGTTTCAATCATAATATAATCTAATTTTTTTCAAACATGTAATAATATATCTTGGCTTAAAAATTTTATTGATAAGGGATGCAGTTAGTATATACTAATAGTTTAGGATGAAATTGAAATGTTCAAAATTTTGAAAACTAATTTAGAATGAGATTGTAGTTTAGGGATGGAATTCAAATATTAAAAAGTTTAAGACCTAATTTAGGATGAAAATAATAATTTAAAGATAAAATTAAAATATTTAAAAGTTTAAGAACTAATTTAAAATAAAAAATTATAATTTGATAACGTGTAATGCAATTAACTTAAAACTACCTTTAAAAATAAGGTAAAACACACCAAAAGTCAATGAACCATGTTCAAATGATCAATTTAATAATCAATTTTTAAAAAAAATTACAAAATAATTATTGAATTTATGAAACTATTACAAAAAATTATTCTATATTGTTTTAATAAAATATAATTTTCATTTTATAGTTATTTAATAATTTTAATAATTATTTAATAATTTTTAAATATTTAATAACTAAAATAATCATTTAAATATAATTTATTAACATCTCATATAATTTATCCTAAAAGTATTATTTTAAACATGTTTTTAGGACCCGAAATTTAGGCCACGAAAAAAAAGTGAAGTATCTAGTCAGGCCTTCATCACGCTGTAGTTGTGAATCGTGACCTAAGCCATTGCATTTGCCTAACCTTTTTCATGTTATAAAATAAAACAGATTTCAATGGTCTCAAATTAATGCAATTTTTCAGTATTTTTTTCGACCACCAATATTTAATATATTGATCGAATAATTTAAATTAAATATTATAAATAAAAACAAGTATAAATAAGATTGAATCGAAATTTTTCTACCTGAACTTGATTCGGATTTTATGTCTTCAATTCGTCACTCGATCTAATACGAATTTAAAGAGATTTCATTTAACTAAAAACCTAACATGACTTTTAATATAAAAATATGCAGTCGATCCGATAAAAATGTGAATTATATTTTATATACTTTAATATTTTATGATTAATATTTTTAAATTTAATTAATAAATTTTATATTTTATTCGCATAGATCATGCATGTGAACTTTTTTAAAGTAAATTAAAAGTATTTAACTATTTTATTATGAGAAAGTATTCAACTATTAAATATATATTAATTAAATATTATTTTAGACAATTATGATAGTTGTATTGAATTGATTTCAAAATTTATTTATAAGACGGAATATAATTATATAGATAAATTCAATGATCAAATTACAAAATATTAGTCCTGAAAAATAATTAGTGTGGTTATATTCAATGATCAAATACTTTTATAAATATATATTTCTTTAAAAATATATCAATATTCGAATTTATCTAGTGTATAATAAATAACATCGTGTGGTTTGCTTTCTCTTTTCCGTCTGTTTTTTTTATAATATATAACTTTGTTGCTTTCTCTTTAAACGAATTTTTTTTTTATAGAAAGTCGCTATTTTTATTAAAAATATAAAATATTCAGAATTATAATAAAGATTTATGAATATAATTGTAAGCATAAATTAAATTATAATTAGAACATTTTTCTATAACTATTGACATAAAAATTAGTCACCTAGATTTCACATGGACCATAAAAAGAAAATGTTAAAAAACCTAACCAAAACTCAAACAAAATAAAGATACAAACAAATCTGACTGCATCAACAAATGAACCATAAAAGGGGATAAAACTGCTAAAAGACCACCAATAAATTGTAAATCAGAGTCAAGCGACATGAGAAAACTATCCACGAGTGTAAAACGCGTATCTAAATCAATATGAGGGTCTAAAGCAAGGAAAATCAACATGATAACAAATAAACGTCATCTTGATCATTCATGACGATGTCAAATCCAACCCTGAGAAAAAAGATAAAAGAAAATAACGAAAAAAATCGACAGCTATCAAAAGGCAAAAAAAAACGTGCCACAAAGACAGAGATAAACATAACATAAATGCAGAGAACATATCACAAAGACAAAATTATTCTTATTAAAAAAATAAAAAAAATAAATAAAAAAATAACCGACGAGTGACAACCAACATTAAAAACGGTGTCTTCGTTGGTTGAAAAAAATTAAAGAATAAAAATTAGATTATAAAGAACAAAAAAAAAGTGAAGAGGGAGAAGAAATAGGAAAAAATGGGCAAAGTCCCCCCGCCCCCTACACGATTCTTTGCTTGCTTAGATTCCGCCTCCCGTCATTTTGGCCGCACGTTAACTAAACCGTAAACCTTGATATAAAAAAAGAACAAGAGGCTTAATATCATGTTTTACCCTTGAATTTGTCCAAAAGTTATTCTTAACCCTTAAATTTTAAATTTCTTTTGACCCTCGAGCAAATGATTTGTACTACATTTATTAATTTACATTGTTTTCGAAATCAAAATTTGAAATTTTAAATCCAAGTTCTCAAATGTTATTTATACAAATTTTACTTTTTAATTTTATGGATAGAAACAAGTTTATTGCGTCAGTCATTGACAGTTCACCGTTTCTAATTTTACGCAAGAGAATACTAAAAAAATAGTAGTATGGGGGAGAAGATGCGTGAGATATCAATGAGAGTTGGAGAAATGATCCTCTTTTTAGCCTTTTATCAGGATATAAATATCTTGACTGTAGAGTAGTTGGTGTCAAACCTATGATGACGATGATTGTCTATATGCTGATTTAAGTGAGGCTATCAAAATTTTAGTCGTGGGGTTGTTGCCATCTAAGGAGTATGAGACTCCGGATAGATAGCAGTTGAAGGTTTTATTTTCAAAGGACATTTTTGGAGGATATCTGTGGATGTATAACATTATATCTTTGGAGGTATAACAAATTTTAATCAAATAAAATTGAGGTACCGTGGACTTTGTGACACCGACTTAGTGAAACATCATGTAATAGGAATAACCATTTATATTTGATTTATTGCTTGATTAATCCAAATTGAGTACTATAGAACTCTGTCATGGTGCAACCCTTCTAGTCTAATTTTATTCACTTACAATATCGATATTCGAATATCTGACTTTATTTTAAAAATTTAACATCTTATCTAAGGATACGCTTGGGATGAGTTTTTGGTCGACCCGGGCCCTAGCATTCTACCCTTCTACATGTAACCTGACTCAACTTGAGTTAAAAGATGCTCCACGTGTTTTGAAATCTGATCCGATTTTTAAAGAAAAATTCACATCTAGCGTGATCTAGTGTAATTATATTTTTATTAGATAAAATAGAGACCTACTTAAAAAATATAAAGATGAATATAATTGTAATTTTGCTTAAATATATAATAAATAATTATAATATTTTCCAGATTAGGCCAGATTAGTATTTTTATCCTACTCCTGAAGCCTACAGACTCAGTTTTATCGTTATAAAATTCAATCCAACAAAAATTTGATCAAATCCGAATTCATGCCCATTAGTCTTATCCTTTGAAAACCCAATTTAACCTCAACATATATATATACATATATTAAAATTTTTTATCTTATAAAATTGATTCGAAACTTAACAAATCCGAATCTATATCCATCTCTAGTTTTATTCGTTAAACCAGTTGGAGGTTGAGTTCAATATAATTTTTAGAAATGCTAGGAAATACTTAATGGTCCCAATCATTAGAAAACAAGGAAACAAATTTTACGGTTACCAAAAACAAAAAATGTTCTTTTTCATTGGTCCGTGAAGAATACATCTATACCTACAGCGTAACAATACAAAGAAGCAGTTCCTTCGAAGTTCAGCATGCTAAAAAAACGACACCGTTGTGAGGCCATCGCACAAAGCACCAAGTTCAGTTATAAAACGATAGAAACTTAAAAACAACCGTTTGATGTAAAGGGTCAACAAATCTATCGGTATCGGGAGAAGTACACCTAGAACACGGGTATGTTTATGTTTCTGTTTAATTACACGTGGCCGATGATGATTGGTCTTCCTTTTTTATTTCACCTCCCAAATAATTGAAAAGAAAGTTATATAAAGGAAAAAGAAAGTGAAGAGAAAATGGTTTTTTTTCCCCAACGGAAAAAGAAAAAAATAACTATTTGATTTGATCTCAGAATCAAAAGGCGAGAGAAGCGAGGAAGAAAAGGGTGAGACCTGTCGAATTTGGACTGTTTGGTTTATTCGTTAAAAGATAGGTTTGAGTGTTCCGGAGTATTTTTGCTTCATTTTTTAGTTTTCAGTGTGTGCGAATCTTTTTATTCTTTTGTTTTCTGTAAGCGAAGATGGTGAACACTATGGTGGAGAGAGCTACGAGTGACTTGCTGATCGGGCCAGATTGGGCTCGGAATATCGAGATATGCGACATGCTTAATCACGACCCTGGGTATGCGTTGCTCTGGATTCCATTTTTCTCCCATCTTCTAAGAAGTTGTTATTGCTCTTATAATTCAATTGATGATTGTCTCGGTTGTTATTGCTCTTATGGTTCGATTGATTATTGTGCTCAATTTGATTATAAAGAACCATTATGAAAATTGTAAAGTGTGCTTTATCATTTCAGTGTTCGAATTGCTTTTTACTTTTACATTTTTAAATTTTTTTTCCTTTTGTTCTGCTAGTGATAGTAGATTTAAGAGAAGTTAAATGTTAGCTGTGTTTTTACGGCGTGTAAATTTGAAGGGAGAGATTTGGTTCAAAAAATATAATGGTTGATCAGTTTGTTTTGCTTTATATTTCTTTGTTCGACGTGTAATTTCTTTCATGGATGTGTCTGATAATACAGTTTTTAAGTAAGATTTTGTTGATTGATAGAGAGCTTAACTCCATGTGAATTTGACCGGTTATAGAGCTAAGCTACTTTCTAGAAGTGAAGGATTACTGGGTGATTTTTTCTTTTAAGTTTCCCTTTCTCAAATTTGAACTGGCTTTTGCTGGTTGCTTGTTAGTTGTTGTAACTTCCTTGAAAGTAGGATGGCCTAAAGGTTTAGTTTTCTGATTTTCTGTTTTCTATTGACCTGTTTTTTTTTCAATTTTAATTTGTCTCCCTCCAGAGGAGAAACACTAGAAGGTGACGGGATTTATATTTTTTTTAAGTTTGAATATTTTTCTTTCTTTCTTAAATCTAGTAGTGAAATGTTATGATTATTATCAGGCAAGCAAAAGATGTCGTGAAAGGTATAAAAAAGAAGCTTGGAAGTAGAAATCCTAAAGTTCAACTTCTTGCACTAACTGTAAGCTGCGAATAACTTTTCACTGATTTCCAGTAGTGTCTGGATATAGTGATCACTTTTGTTGCCTGTTTTGTCACCATTTTGTACACTGAACTGAAATTGTTTAAATTTGGTTTGCTTTCTACATTCTAGCTGCTAGAAACTATCATAAAAAACTGCGGGGACATTGTCCATATGCATGTTGCAGAGAAAGGTGTTCTTCATGAGATGGTTAGAATAGTCAAGAAGAAGGTAGGGAGTCTCATTTTGTAGTTATTTTCTTTTAAAACTTGCTCTCAGTTTTTTTCCTGGTCATATGTAGCCTGACATCAATGTTAAAGAGAAGATATTGACTCTGATTGACACTTGGCAAGAAGCTTTTGGAGGTGCAAGGGCAAGATATCCACAATATTATGTTGCATACCAAGAGTTATTGGTATATTTGCTTAGGCCTCCCATCTCAAGTTGTATGAGTCTATGAGACATGCTGCATTTCTTTCTATCTGCTTCTTCATTTGCTATTCTTCATTTGTGACTTGCATTGTATTCAAAACATATTGACATGTGAAGAGTACTTCTACATAATGTGGCCTTTTCCTTTTTATTTTTCCTCTGAATCAAATTGGTTTATTGTTCAGCATCTTGGGGCAGTATTCCCACCAAGATCTGAGAGGTCTGCACCTGTACTTACTCCTCCTCAAACACAACCTTTGTCTTCTTATCGTCCAAATATGCGCAATTCTGATCAGCAAGACACAGCTGGGTCTTCTGCAGAGTCAGAGGTTCCAACCCTGAGGTATTTTTCCTTTTTGTTCCTCAGTTTTTTAGTGGTATAAAAGCATGGTTGTGTTAGTATTTTGCATTATTCCTGTTCAGTTTCATGATGGCCTACGTGAGTTTTATAAAATCTTTCTGAAGTATTTTTAGAAATTGTGCTGCAGTAAAAGAGTTATGCAGAAGGCTGGTGCCCATACTAAATTATTGATATCATTGTCTAATGAATAAATTATGGAGCTAACCGGAATATGTTTTTTATAATGACTTCATAGGAATAAGAATCCCTTCTGTTTGTGAGTATAAATTATTTAGTATATATTTGTATTAAAATAATTGTCAAAGTTAACTCTTTATTCACTCTTTAATTTTAGCTTTGAAGAGATTAAAGTGAGTTGTTGGGTGAAACACTTCCTACTTATTTTAACTTCAGTTTTGGTCATCACATCAGTGCTCCCTGCCCTTATCTGGTAAACATGACTGCGGTGTTGTCACACCAATGATTATCCATGTCTCCTAGAAATAGAGCAGTAGGGACTGTCCACAGATTAGAGCAGTTATAATAGTTGAAACAATATGAGTGGCTCGTTCTATCACATTAATGGTAGTGAATTACATTGCTATACTTCTAGTCTTTTTAACATAAGTTTCATTTATCAGTTTGACAGAAATTCAGAATGTGCGGGGTATTATGGATGTCCTTGCAGAAATGCTAAATGCAATAGATCCAGGAAACAATGAGGTATTTGTTCACAATTTGATATGTATGAGAATGAAGGATATTTTGGATACTTGCTAAATCAATTGTGTTCTGGCAAGCACATGGTTGTGTAATTCCAAGGGACAAGTCTTTAATTGGATTTAAAGTGACTATCAAAGTTTTAATATAACTGGTATTTGTGTAAAAAATTGGTTGGCTGTGCTCAAATTCATCAGATGGTGAGCCGGTTTATCTGTGTAAACTTATGCTTTCTAGCTCTTATAATGAAAAATCTTTTCAAAAGTTTATATAATGTTTCAAGCTGCTAAATCTAAAGATACAATGCTGTTGGGGTTTCTTTAAGTTCATTTTCTTTTGGCTTATTTACTTCTCTTTCTTCTACCATTTCAGGGACTTAGGCAGGAGGTGATTGTTGACTTGGTGGAGCAGTGTCGGAATTACAAACAAAGAGTTGTACATCTTGTTAATTCAACATCGTAAGAAAACATTCTTTACGAAAACTTCCCTGGGGCCCTTCGTATTTTCTATAAGTTGATGACTCGATGTTATTATGCTTTTTCATAGACGTGACATGCTTTTCTGCATGGAAATCTCTTTTTATTTCGTGGTCTTTAAGGCATGCTAGTATCATTTGTTAAAATACTTCACCAAAAAGAGGTAGTGAAATCATGTGTTCAGATCTAAGGTCTTCATTATTTTATTCAATTGTATTCTATCCATTGCTATGGTAACTAGAAGCTGGAGCAGTCTGTGAAGGAATTGATTTATTTATCAGAATCTTTTTCCAAACCAATGCCAATGTGTATCTTTTTGTGCATTTGTGTATAAATTTGTGTGATACTTTCACTTTTTATGGCATGTTTCATGTATGACTTGCTAACCTCTATGGAATTTTGTAAGAAAATTTGTGAAATACTTGACATTTATGACAAATATCACCTTTTGGTTATGTAGAGATGAGTCGCTTCTATGTCAAGGTTTAGCATTGAATGATGATTTGCAGCGCTTACTAGCACGACATGAAGCAATAGCTTCAGGAACTTCCTCTCAAGAAATCAAGCCTAAGCCTGAACCTGCAAAAGAACCTGCGAATGTTAATGGTCCACTAATTGATACTGGAGACAGTAGCAAGCAGTCTGAGGGCAGGTAATTAGGCATCTTTGAACTGGACTGCATATGAAGGGATCTGGGATTAAAATATTTGGTGTTTTGTATTTTTTTTATTACAACAAATTTGTAGGAATATGCTTAGAATTGTAAGTTATGTTTGTTATATTCACTGCATTATACTTTTCCTAAGCATTACTGGTGATAACCATAGTCTTTTTCTCAGTATCTCGGAACTTGGTTACTAGTTTCTTTCATCTTTTTGAATAATTTGTTTTGAGAAATCCTTGGTACAATTTAGTTTCTGGGTTTTTTTAAATAAATTTCCCGATTGCAGGTGCTTGGTTTTGTTGAAGTGGAAATCTTTTGAACTTTTTAGATCTAGTGATTAGTAGTATATTTACCTTTATCAGGAATGGCTGAATTGCTTATCAAATGTTAGGTTGCTAGGATTGACATTGAAATTCATTTAAATTTGGGTTGGGTTTATCTAAAACCCTTCGTCTAATATTTCTGGTAGCTTGAGTTTTAATTAACAGGACCTTTTTTCGCAGGTCCACTTCAAGCACCGTTGAAAATTCACCATTTAATCAGTTACTGCTTCCTGTTCCTCCTGCAACTAATGGTTCAACTCCTCCACCAGCTGTCAGTCCCAAAATGGACTTGCTTAGTGGCGACGACTTCAATTCACCAAAGGCAGATAATTCGCTTGCCCTTGTTTCTTTGGGAGAACCACAACAAGCAACTCCTGCATCACAGGAGAATGCCCTCGTTCTCTTCGACATGTTCTCCGATGGTAGCAACACCTCCAATGCCGTTAACACCCAGCCATCATATTTGGCCGGACAAACCAACCCTTGGACTCCTCAAATTCAGCAGCAGCAGCAGAATTTTCATGCGAATGGAACTGCACCAAACATGGGATCACCACAATATGAGCAGCCATATGCTCAAGGCACAGTTCCTGCCTGGAATGGTCAACTGGTTCAGCAGCAGCAGCAGCCCCCCTCACCCCTCAATGGTTCGTTTCGGACTACAATAGGCTTCTTATGCACAGGCATATCGATTTACTTTTGGCATGAATCCCTTGGGACAGACATTCTAGGCTTAGTTGGAAGACTGAATAAGTATATTCTTGCTTCCACTACATTTATTATCTTACGGATCTTTCTTTTTGCATGTGGAGAAGGTGCCCAGAGCAGTGGCTCACTTCCGCTGCCACCTTGGGAAGCACAAGCAGCAGACTCTTCCCCGCTTGCAGGTGCTCAGCATCCCCAGTCACTGGGTACTCATGGACCTCAGCATATGGGAAGTGATCAGATGGCCAGTATGTACATTCAGCCAATCACAACTGGTCATTTATCGACGATTACCAACCACGTGGCTCCAGGAAACCAGTTTGTCGGCTATCAGCCACAGCCGATCCAGGGGCAGCATATGGGCATGCTTCCACGGCAAATGACAACTGGCCAGATGAGTTCAATGTATCCTCAGCAAATGCCGGCGGGTCAGATGGGTTCAATGTATCCTCAGCAAATGCTGGCGGGTCAGATGGGTTCAATTTATCCACAGCAAATGCCAGTGGCGGGCCAGATGGGTTCGATGTATCCACAGCAAATGTCGGTGGCTGGCCAGATGGGTTCGATGTATCCTCAGCAGATTTATGGCAACCAAATGGGAGCGTATGGCTATGGTCAGCAACCGTATCTCGATCAGCAAATGTATGGGCTATCCATCAGAGATGACAGTGCCTTGAGAAACTCTTCTTACCAGGTCCCCACTCCATCGAATGTTCCGCCGAGTAAGCCTTCGAAACCCGAGGATAAGCTGTTTGGAGACCTTGTTAACATGGCGAAAATTAAATCAACAAAACCCACCCCGGGAAGAGCTGGAAGCATGTAAACCTGGATTTAGTTTTTACATACCTTTTTGGTGGCTAACTTGTTTTTTCTCTTTTCCCATTTTCTTAAATATTTTTCATATTCCTCTATGTTTTTCTCTGTAGAGAAAATGGAAAGATCACACTTAGGTTGAGTTTTTATAGTTTCGATTCTCTCGTTTTCCGGCAACACTTTATTTTTCGATTACAATAATAAAATGTATATGCCGAATTTCTTTCGAGTTATGAGTAGTTTACACATTGTATTGAAAACTTCTTTCATTCTTTATTCTTTGTTAAAACCATTGATGTGTTCAACGCAAGTACTAAAAATTTCAGTTAAATTGGAAAAGGCAACATTTAATTTTTTTAAAATGTATCACATTATCATTTTAATTATTTATTTAGTATAATTTTTTTAATGAAAGTGTTGAATTTGATAAATAGGTAGGTAATTCTTTATGTTAATATACACACGTTCTATAACAAATTTTGAAATTAAAATTTTTAGAGATAATAATCCTCATTTTAACTACTTAGATTTCTTAATGAATTTATATAAATTAATTATTTGAATGATGGTTATGACTTTAAAAACATACCATCCAAAAGTCAACTTATATATCGGGTTTGGTTGGATTCATTCAAACTGATAATTAAATAGAGGTTTTATGAATTTCAAATAGCGTGGACCTAACCTATATATGTGAACGTGTATTATCATACAACCACCAAATAATTTTATGCAAGATGCAAAACAGCCATGTCATCATTGGAATATATAGAAAAATTTGCTCGAAATGGGTATTTTGACAGTGGAGGACCAACTTTCTGTTCTTTTTTTACCTTCTTTTTGGATTTTTAAAATTTTAAATTAATTTATATATATAGCTTTTTTTTTTTATGTATAAAGTTTTAAGTTATTTATCAAAATAACATATATAAAAAACAAAACCACTAATTATGACATATACGTAGACCACCCTAAAGGACTGTCACGTTTGTAACTTTTAACAAATATACATTAAATTGACAAAAATAAATAAATATTAATGACTAGATTTATAATTATGTCTAATTTTTAAATAAAGTTAACAAAAGAAAATTATCATTATCACTAGAGGTAGAAAAGAGTGGGTTCGGTAGGCTTGAATAGAATTATCATTGAATTTAGATTTTTTATACTCGTTTTTTTATTTGATCAGTTCAAGTTTAAATATATTTTTTTAGATTTGAATTAAATTAGATGAATTTAAATGATTTTGTAATATTTTAAAGTTTTATAAGTTACAAATATTTTCATTTTGAATATATCAACTAATTTTTATTTGTATATAATGGAAATATAAATTAATTTTCTTATAAAAAGAAAAAATACTTGTTTATAATAAAGATTTTTATATAATATAAGTAATTATTATATGTAATATTCGTAAGGACTGTTCTCAGGTACACTGTAAGTGGAAAAAAGTTTTTCTTAATTAGTGTTAAAATAGTAACAAGTGTTTTATTTATTTTTCTTTTAAATTTTTAAATAAATATATTATTATCATAAAATATTTTTTGATTAAATAAATAATTTATTTTAAATATTATCACAATAATATGTCAATGAATGCTTGTTTGGAGAGACATTAATAATTATTTTTTATATTTTAAATGGGTAAACTACACATTTAGTACTTAAAGTTTTACTTTTGGTACGTTTTAGAACCTGAACTTTCAATTTTTACAAAATCATATCTAACGTTTAATTTTTGTTTAATTTATTTACCCCGCCGTTAAAACTTAACGACAGAACTGCCCAAACTCTTTTTAAATTTATTTTCTGAATTTTTAAAATTATTATTTAATTATTTTTATTCATGTTGAGTCAATCGAAATGATTAAATAGCAAAGAGGGGGTGAATTGAAAAATAAAAATTTTGGTGGAAGCTTAAAGGGAAAATGAAAAATTGAACACATGAATTTTAGAGTGGTTCGACTTTCTAAACCAAAGTCTACATCCACTACCTTAGCTACCTTCGTAGGCAACAAAGATTAAAGGCTAATATCGGTAATTATTAACAAAATTCGTAATAACATATGTATGATATGTTTGATATGCACGGTGTTTGACATGTATGGTTATAGCCCCATATTTGCAATGGTTGTAATTTTTAAATACGGCTTGTGTATCGTGCCTTCTTATAGTTCTATTGTATTTCTCTTCTCACATTGCTCACTCGTTTGTAAAACGAGTTTCTAAAATTGTAATCATATGAAGATTCGAAGTAGCAGAATAATGGATTGACAAAAAACGTGAAGATGCTTGAGAAGCAGTCTTTGTATTTAGGATTCAAGGTTCTCCCATTGACTTAGGATGGCCCACCTTAGTTTGTTTTTGGGCTATAACCATTGCATTTTACTTATTGTTTTTATCTATCTTGTATGTGATGCAATGAATGGTATATTAGCATGCTAATAGATTAATGAGATCATTAATGGCCTAATATTAAAATAAACAATAATCAGATAATCATGCAAATCCCTCGTTATAATCTAAGTTATCTTAAACATTTAATATTTACCCTCATTAAGAATTCGATCGATATCATGTGGGTTTTGCCGAAGTGATGGCACATGAATCTATCTTGGTTAAACGTGAAGAATAAGTAAGTGATATTCACGGGTTGAAATATTGGTAATAACTTAGCTAGTTTATTCTAATATGATTAGAAACCTGGAGGTTAATTATTTGGATAAATCATGAGATGATTTGAACAAGAAATGTTCACCAAATGGAGGAGTTACATGAGATGTAATTAGTAAGTTGTTACTTACATAAATAACCATTCTCCTAAAAGAAAAGCCAAAGTTGATTTAGAAAAGGGGTGAAATATGAATCCTCACTCATTAAAAAAACTTTCGAGATGTTTTTCTGAAATTAAAACTACAAGGTTTTTAATTTTGAAGAAAATAGTGGGAGTAATTTGTAAAGAAAAATCTATTTATAAATTTTAAATTCGGTAAATTTACTTCAACTAATTCCGTTGTTGTAGATTTAATGGCAAATAACACATTATTATTGCGATCACTCCTTGAGAATGAGAAACCAAATGGCATAAACTTTTTTGATTGGTCTTGTAATTTGAGAATTGTTCTCAAACAGGAAAGAAAGAAATATGTCATTGAAGAATTAGTTCCTGACGAACTGGTAACTAATGCTCCTAGAGTCAACAAAGATAAGTTTAAGAAACATATGGATGACATATTAGATGTTGGATGTTTTATTCTTGCAACCATGACCCTGAGCTTCAGAAGCATCATGAGGACATGGTTGCATATGAGATGATTCAAAATCTAAAGGAAATATATGAGGGACAAGCACGTTATTACAATACAAAATGGTATAGGGTTCTCCTGTAGGAGATCATGTCATCAAGATGATGGGCTATATCCAAATGTTGGAAAAGTTGGGATTTTCTCTCACAGATGAATTGGCAACTGATGTTATTCTGCAATCGTTGCCTGATAGCTTTAATTAAATTGTCCTTAATTTCAACATGAATGAAATTAACAAAACTTTGCCACAGTTACTTGGCATGTTACGAACTGCTGAAAGTAACATGAAAAATGTATGAAAAAGGTTGGACCTAAGCCCATTCTGATGGTCCGCAAGGACAAAGGAAAGGAAAAAGAAAAAAACAATGGCAAAGTCTAAGGGTAAATGGCAAGCACAAGCCCAAAGGAAAAGATGCACTGAAACCCAAAGGGGGAATTAGCAAGGAAGGAAAATGTTTTCATTGCGACAAGACCAAACACTGGAAAAGAAAATGTCCTGTTTACCTTGAAGAGGTCAAGAAGGCAAAAGGAAACGGGACACTTGTTGCATGTATTTATGTTATTGATGTTAATTTGTCAACATCTACTTTTTGGGTATTAGATACCGATTATGGTTCTCATATTTGTACTTCTGTACATGGACTACAAAGATAAGGAATATGGCTAAAGGAGATGTGGACCTACAAGTGGGAAATGGAGCAAGAGTTGTTGCATTAGCTATAGTGACATATGTTCTATCTTTGCCTATTGAACTTGATTTAAATTTAGAGGATTGTTGTTTTGTGCCTAGTTTAACTAAAAACATGATTTCTATTTCTTGTTTGGACAAGATTGGTTTTGAGATAATTATAAAGAATAATTGTTGTTCGTTTTATCTCGATAGTGTTTTCTATGGTTCAACACAATTAGTTAATGGTCTTTATATTTTGGATTAAGATAACACTATTTATGACATAAATACAAAAAGATCAAAGATAAATGACAAAAATCAAACTTATCTTTGGCATTGTCGCTTAGGCCATATAAATGAGAAGCACATATCAAAGCTCTATAAAGATGGATATATTCATTTGTTTTCGAACAATATGATGTATGCAAATCATGCTTGTTGGGAAAAATTACTAAGGTCCCCTATAATAGTAAAGGTGAATTCTTAAGTGATTTATTGGGATTAATATATAGTGATGTATGTGGGCCAATGAAAACGTAAGCCAGAAGTGATTTACTGATGACTTCAGTCGGTATGGGTATATTTACCTTATGCCATAAATCTGAAGCACTTGAAAAGTTTAAGGAATTCAAAAATGAAGTACATAATCAATTAGGCAAGAATATTAAGGCAATTCGATCGATCAAGGTGGAGAATACTTGAGCATAGAATTTGATAAACTCCCGAAAGAGTGTGAGATTGTCTCACAATTTACACCATCTGGTATACCACAGTGGAATGAGGTTTTTGAAAGGAGGAATCAAACATTGTTAGACATGGTTTGATCAATAATGAGTCATAGTGATCTTTCTACTTCTTTCTGGGGACATGCACTCAAAACAACTACTTTCAAACTAAATCGTATTCCATCTAAATCGGTTCAAAAGACACCATATGAGATGTGGACTAAGAAACAACCTAGTATGTCTTTTATAAAGATTTAGGGTTGTGAAGCTTATGTCAAACATTAGATGTCTAGAAAGCTCAAACTTAAATCTCATAAATGTATATTTGTTGGATATCCTAAAGAAACTAAAGGATATTATTTCTTTAACCCTAGTGAGAACAAAGTGTTTATTGCTCGAACATGAATTTTTCTCGAAAGAGAATTTCTCTTAACGAAAGGGAAGGGAAGAAATATTGAACCTGGAAAATTTCAAGAACAAAATATCAATTAACCAGAGGTTAAACAAGTTCCAGAAGTAGTTGAGGAACAA